CGGGCTGGACTCCGCTTTGTCCATGGTGAAAGCCGATCCGGCGATCCACAGCGTGCAGTTGATGTATTTCCTCAGCGACCAGCACAGATCAGCTCTAGGCATGACGAAGCGGATATCGTCCTCTTTTGGAAGACCAAACAAAGTATCCTTCACGAAATGGCTGCAGCGTCAACAATACTACAGTGAGACTAAAAGTTACGCCTTCTTTTTTTGTGTGAACATTTGGGCGGCGTTATGCAATCTTCCCACATCGTGATGTAGACATGTGGGGGTGTGTTAGAACGAGCCGTTTTAGGTAGGTGTGGCTGACTCTTAACTTTTATAAAGAATATCTCTTTGGATTTGAGACTTTAGTCTTTGCAACTTTACAGATCTTCTTTATGCACCAAGAGCTTGTAACACTCCAAAGAGAAAGGAAAAATTTAAATTGCATCATATGACCCCTTTAATATTGCTATTTATGTTTAATTTATTTTTTGCGTTGTTTTTTAGGTTCAGTTTTAGTTTTAGTGCTTCAGTTTAAACTTCTCAGTTAGTTGCCAACATAATTTTTTTATCTAATAGTTTTTCATCTAATATTTGTTTTATTTCATTTCAGCTTTATTTCAATGAACAAAAATGTTTTTAATAGTTTTAGTTTTAGTTCATGATTGCAACCCTGGTGATTCATCATAGCAAGACAGTAATATCATTGGCACAATAATTACATTAATGTCAAAAGATTTATTCTAGGTTCAGGGAAAGTGAATGTTTTGTGACTGAATTCTGATTGCTTATGCTGCTAGAAACTTTGACTAACATTGTGCATTATACTTTTACTTCATGGAGAAAAATATGTCTCTTATTTTTAAAACATTAAAACTACTTGCAGTAATTTGCAAGAACAATAATTTGTTCTCTAACTAAACTGCATTTCATGTAAAATTACATTTAACTCTAAATATTCAATACACAGTGGCCTCAGATAATATAAACACTTAAGACACTTAAAAATGTATGATGGAAATAAAAATGATGTTTTATGCATAAACAAGCATTTATTGCATAATTTCAGAAATTTGTTAGGACTGTTAAAACTGAAACTACACACACACATACACAAATATATAAATATATATATATATATACACACACACACACACACACATATATATATATATATATATACTGTATATATATATGTGTGTGTGTGTGTGTGTGTGTATAGGGAAACTGAGAAAACAAGATATATTGTTCAAAATGAAGGTAAAAAGTCTGTAAAACATATCCATAGTTAATGAGATGAACTACATCTGTAGAAATAAAGTTTCATTCAGGCATAAACAGGCAGTAAGCAAATCCACATACATATACATTTAATTAATTTATATTTAAATGACATTTGTCATGTGACGTGTAAATGAAGGACGAATGTTTTACTTATTTCACCATCCTTGTCTTTGTTTTCAGTCGCCGGTCAAGCATGTTTACAGAGTGTTACAGTGTCAAGAGGAAGAACTTACTCAGATGGTCTCGACCATGTCAGACGGATGGAAGTTTGAGCAGGTAACTCAAAACCGGCTTTAGTTCATTTGATCATTTCAGCTCCACAACAATCAGAATCGCTCCCGCCGGTTCAGCTGACCTGCGGTGTGTGATGCAGGCCCTGCCTTACGCTCTGATTGATTGTTGCAGCTTGTCAGTGTAGGTTATGGGCGGGCCCAGAAGTCAGAGTTTTTCCTGATTGTGTCTCGAGAGGTGAAGGGGGAGGAGTCAAGCCAAACTCACCCCGCCCACAGTGGAGAGGTGTGTCCAACGATCCCCTGTCCTCCCACTAACCACTGCATGCCGTCACAAGTTTGATTTTCATTGCAGTGGTCACAGTGAATGCTGTTGCCTACAGATGTGGGTGCTTTTGTTGGTGATGCACACGTATTCTGCATGTTTAGAAGTGTTACTGTGTTCGTGTGTTTTTAACAAGGGCCGAGTCATTGCATGCAAATGCATTCCTGAGCATGTTGACAATTAAAATGTTTTATTTTTGTTAAAGGGATTGTTCACCTAAAAAATTTCAAAACCTGAATACTTTTCCAACTTTTTCAAATTCCAAATACTTTATTATTATGATAATTTGCGCAATTTTCATACTGTTCACATACAATGAAAGTGAATGGGAATCAATGCCATTGAGCTCCAAAAATGACTCAAAATGCATAATAAAAGTCTGAGATCACAATTAAATTACAATCAAGCTCTTGAATCACAGTTGCTCTTGTTAATATTAAAAATATGACAAATGTTATGTTTCTATGAGCAGTCATCACTGATGTCAAACCTGCATTTGAATAAAGCAAACTCCAATGAGATTTGACAGTTACAGCAGGGAGAAACATTTCCAATGACTTATTACTCATAATCATTGCCATTTTTTTGGTGGACTGTAACTTTAAAGGAATAGTTCACCTAAAAATGAAAATGCATTTACCCTCATGCCATCCAAGATGTAGATTAGTTTGTTTCTTTATCAGAACAGATTTGTAGAAATGTAGCGTTACATCACTTGCTCACCAATGGATCCTCTGCAGTGAATGGGTGCCGTCAGAATGAGAGTCCAAACAGCTGATAAAAACACTACAATAATCCACACCACTCCAGTCCATCAGTTAACATCTTGTGAAATGAAAAGCTGTGTGTTTGTAAGAAACAAACCCATCATTAAGATGTTTTAACTTTAAAATTTGACTTGAATTTTTTGGGCCAAAATACAAGTCCATAATCCATAATAACACTTCCTCCAATGAAAAAGTCCATCTCCTGTTGTCCCCTCACATCAAAATCCACCCAGAACTGTTTTGGACTTGTAAACCGTGTTTGCATATTTTTCTCCTAATTCAGACGAGGCAACTTTTTCACTGGAGACAGCAATATTATGTACAGAGGACTGGTATTTTAGCAACTGTCTAAAGTTAAAACATCATAATGATGGATTTGTTTCTTACAAAAAAGCAGCTTTTAGCTTCACAACACATTAACTGCTGGACTGGAGTGGTGTGGATTACTTGTGGATTATTGTGATGTTTTTATCAGCTGTTTGGACTCTCATTCTGACGGCACCCATTCACTGCAGAGGATCCATTGGTGAGCAAGTGATGGAATGCGAAATTGCTCCAAATCTGTTCTGATGAAGAAACAAACATCTTGGATGGGCTGAGGGTGATCAAATATTTAGCAAATTTAGATTTTTGGGTGAACTATTCCTTTAACCATCTATAGTCACTCAATGAGAACAGTTGCTAATCTCTATCTGTTCCTCTCCATTTCTGTCTCTCATTCGTGTTTTGTGTAGTTGGTCAGTATCGGATCCTCCTATAACTATGGTAGCGAAGATCAGGGGGAGTTCTTGTGTGTTGTTTCTAAGGAACTGCACAACCAATCATACAGCAGCAACACTCAACCCAGTGAGAAAGCCAAGGTAAGCAGCATGTGTGTTTAGCTGTGTTCTAAACGCATTACTAGCACACTGCTTACAGCATATTGCACATGGAATACTGAGTAATACTTATACACTTATACTAATACAAGTATGTGAAACAGTATGGTTTTGACCTTATAACATTGGTCACATGTCCTCATTACAGTATGTTGAATTCTGTGAGTGGCGTCCACTCATAATTTTACAAACAAAATCAGTTATTTAGCATTATTGTGTAATAAATAAATAAATAAAATCAGTCATTCAAAACATACTTTTGGTTTATTTTGGGAAGAGTAGTAACTGTAGGTTGTCCTGGGATTATGCATACAGAAAATCCACATATTATGCACAGTATGTACTACCGTTCAAAAGTTTGGGGACAGTATGTTTTTTTTAATTTAAAGAAATGAATACGTTTATTCAGAAAGTACACATTAAATTGATCAAAAGCAGCAGTAAAGACATTTATAATGTTACAAAATATTTAAAATAAACAAATGCTGTTCTTCTGAGCTTTCTATTCATCAAAGAATCTTGAATTCCCAGTTTTTACAAAAATATGAAGCAGCATAACTGTTTTCAACCTTGATAATAATCAGAAATGTTTCTTGAGCATCAAATCAGTATATTAGAATGATTTCTGAAGGATCATGTGACACTGAAGACTGGAGTATGATGCTGAAAATTCAGCTGCGCATCACAGGAATAAATTACATTTTACAATATATTTACATGGAAAACAGTTATTTTGATTTGTAAAAATATTTCACAATATTGCTGATTTTACTGTAGTTTTTGTTCTTTTGAACGGTAGTGTACATACTATAAGTCTTCAGGAATAGTATGTTATTCCAAACATGGCTGTTGTGTTTTAGGGTATTGGTGACAGTAGTTTAGTGCAGATTAGTAATCTTTTGTCGTATTATGTAAATCCTCTGCTGTTTTCCCTCAGATTCTACAGGAACGCGGTTCTAGAATATGATTATCTAGAGCTGCCATGGTTTGAGACACATCAGTTCTTTCTAGAACATTCCATGAGCTTGTTCTCTTCACGCCTCAAGAGCACTGGACACCTGACGCACGCAAGCAGCACAAGAAGAGCATGTCCACTGTAATCCAGTCTTTATGGTGCCTGTTAATCTGAATTCAAACCGGGATGCTTGTTTATTTTGATCTTCATGGATTCAGAGACTGATTCGGATTCTCTGGACAGGATCTGGAGAACTGGACCAATGTCAATCTCAGGGATCAAAAGGAAATGGACACGTCGCTCTGAATCGCTGCCCACCTGTTAGCACAATCAGTTCAATGGACATTCATGGGCATACAGTGGGGTCCATAAGTGACAATACTTAAATTTCGTACTTTTATCATTTAAAACGAACACTTTTCTTTACAAATCTCAGTATTTCGTTCATCTCCCTTTTTCTTTAATCAGTGATATGAACAAAACCTGATGCTCTTGTTCTCCTGCATGATTTGCAATGTTTCAAAGAGCATCTTGAGCTTCAATAGAAGCAGGAAAATCTGAGCGTCTGTACAAAGAATCACACGATCAATGTCATCCATTTACTCACATTTGATGAGTCACACAGATAATTAAATATTATGTCAAAAAAAAAAGTTTTTTTGAAAGGTTTAAATTGAAAAAAAATCCCAGATTTGTATTGTGGTCTCAGACTTTTGGAACCCACTGTCCTATGAATTAAATATGCAACAATAAGGATTTTGAAAATCAGTACACACATTTTTATGCAAGATTGTAGTCATATTTGTTAGTGTTGAGATTTTAGCTGCACACGCATTCAAAAGTCTGGGCATGGTAAGATTTTTCAATGTTTTTGTAAGTAGTCTCTGCATTAATTTGATGAAAAATACAGTAAAAACAGTAATATTGTTAATTATTATTGCAATTTTAAATAACTGTTTTCTACTGTAATATTTTGTAAAATGTAATTTATTTCTGTGATGCGCAGCTGAATTTTCAGCATCATTACTCCAGTCTTCAGTGTCACATGATCCTTTTAATATACTGATTTGCTGCTCAAGCAAATAAAAGCATTCATTTCTTGCAAAAAATAAATAAATCTTACTGAGCCCAAACTTTTGAGTTAGTGTATATTTACAACACATTTTACTGGAAACCTGTATGTTTCTTTTTACTCCTTTTAATGTAAAAATTATTGCTTTTGCACTACTGCTATTATTATTATTATCCAGAAAATATTTCAGAGGTATCAGTGAACTGCTGTTAAGAAATGTGTTAGTGTATCTTATTCTGAATCCTTGGCTGGACCTTAAAGGGAAGGAGCTTTTCTGTCTGTCCACCAAGAGGAGAGACGGGATATGTGAAGCATTTAAGTGACACCTTGCCTGATCATGCACATTTTGATATATATATTATAAGGTAACAGAGTATGCGTTTGTATGTCATTTCGAAAATGCTAACCTGTACTGCAAAATCACGTTACAGTAACATTGAAGTAGCTGAATGTAGCAACACACATCCGCACACTTTTAAGATACAAATGCATTTTGAACAAATAGTCACGTGTCTGTGTTTTTACTGACATTATGAAATTTTTTAAAAATAATTTGTTAATAAAACAAAAATTAAAGCTATATATTAAAAATCATTTTTAATCTAAATAAAATAAACTTAAAAATATTGTTTGAAATTTTAAAAATAGTTAGCAATTTTGCTTTGGCAACTAACCGAAATAAATTTGTTGAAGCACTAAAATGACTAAAACTGAAATAAAAATAAAGCTAAATAGAAATTTTTAACAACTAATAAAAATGACAGAAGCACATAGCAAAATTACTCAAATTAAAATTAAAACAAAAATAAAAGTTACTTCAAAATATTAACAAATACTATAATAGCATTTAAAAATATTGACATAACATTGATTGGAAATTCATGAGGCCAATATATTTACATATATTATCTGTTTCCTCTCATTTCATTTAAACTATTCTAGATTAATTAAACTCACTCTATTCTACATTCACTCCACCATGTGGTGACAAAAAATAAAAATAAAAAATAATTTACAAAAATAAATTAAATGTTGGTAACAAAACAGTTGCTGGTCCCCACTGACTTCCATAGTTTGGAAAAAATAATATAGAAGTCAATAGGAACTAAGGTATATTTTTAATATATGTATTTTATTACATAGAATAGCCTGGAAACAGTATAAACGAAACCTGCCAGTTTACTAGCCATCAATGTTTCTTTAAAACTGTATTCTGCATTTTGTTTATTAATTAATTAATTTATATATTTGCCCTGATAGATAGATAGATAGATCGATAGATTTTATTCTGGCACTGTCCCTTTAAATGTTAGACGTCTAAAGGAATGCCTGCTCTAAATTGTTTCCACCAGGGTAAAGACAACGTCTCATTTCCCCAAACACATGGCGCCTGTAAATCTAAGCTAAAATATCAACAATTCGATCGGTTGAACGGACAGCATTCGCCTTATTTCAACCGATCCCGAATTTTCCTGCAGGCGATCTGCGTTCCGTGCCGCCGGTCCTGATTAGACCGCTTCAGAACCGAATGTGTTTTCGGGAGGGAAACTTCACAGCTTCGGTTCCGAGTCAAACACGATTCGAGTAAGCGGGCCCAGAAGTCGAATAACACTGGGATACACAAGGTAAGGCGGTACGGTCGGTGTGTTCTTGTGTTTTGCTGGCCGGTACACGGTCGCATCGGTTTTGTTTGGAATGGTTGCTGTGTGAACGCGAGCTCGCGAGCTTCTTTGTCCCGCGCGCTCATGAACCGCGTTCCAGCGCTCGACTCCATATTTATTTACATTTTATGACGTCATAATGTGAAGTCAAAACCTTCCTTGATTATGGTGTCATAATGTGGCGTTAAAATTCCATTATGTCATAGTGTAGAACGAACTTCTTTTATGATGCTATTATGAGGACTTAAAAACCTCTTGTAAACGTAATGTTGTGAGAGAATCTACTATACATCATAATCTATAGGTAATTAAAACCTTATTATATCGTTGTAATAGGAAGTTAATAACCTCAGTTTTGATTGTGGTGTTTATGAAAATTTGGTTGATTACATAGTGTGGCGTCAAATCTTAATTATGATGTCATACTGTAGATTTCATAACCATACAAAATTATATAAATGACTTCTGTAAATAGTGTTGTGGTAAAATGTGTTATGTAATGGGCTAAGCTGATTTTCTTTTCCCCATAAATGCTAATGTTAACGCATTGGATTAAAACAGCCTGGCTTTGTTTTTTTTCTGTTTTCTTCTTCTTTTTTTGGGGGGGGGGGATAATTCTTGTACTTGGGACTTTCCCCCCCACCTTGTTACTCCTGAGATGTTCCAGGTCAAAAATGAGCAATCTACAAAAAATGTTATATAACATACTTGCTATAAAATGAGCAAATATTGGATTCAATCTTATCAACTTGTTTTCTTTCATTTAGTACAGGTTTTGCATCTTTTTTTTTGGAACTGATTGATCTTGGGGCTCATTGATATGAGCTTATACACTTTAGTTTTTGAGTGAACATTGCCAAAATTATCCACAAATAATGCTTTTTTTTTTCCAGATAAATGAGGTCTGTGATCAATGTTTAGAGCTTGTATTATATTTACTATTATTTGAAGCTCTGGCACGGTTTACCCTGAAGCTACCATATTAGGAAAATGATTAATTTAATAACTCATGGTGAGTTATAACGGTTTAGTTTACATGGTCTTATATTCACCAACATGTGTGTTATGCTTTATTACTGGTAGGAATTTCTTTGACATATTGATTTTGCCTACCTGCAAAAAATTGCTTTAGCATGCAAAAAAAATCCTTATAAATGAAAATCCTTATAACTTTTCTCATGTGCATCTGTCACAGACAGGTTTATATGATGGGCACTATAAGTGTTCTAAATATTAAATATTCTATAAATGATCTAACAATATTCCATAATATAAATATTCTATAAGAACTATAAATATTCTCGTTTCTAAATGTATTACACTTGCTTTCTCCTTTATTTATTTAGCATATACTCAGATAAATGTGTGTTTCTCCATAGGATCAGTGGTCATGTCTGGCATTGCTCTGAGTCGACTTTCACAAGAGCGCAAAGCATGGCGGAAAGACCATCCATTCGTGAGTAACCCTTATATTCATGCAGTCCACACAACAATCAGTTTAATCCTGTGTACACTTAGAATTGCTCACTTGTGGATATATACTACAAAATAAACCTTTATTATGAACCCTATAACACACGTGCACTGTATCCTCTGGTACTCAGTTAACACTTTTGTCTCGACCAAATGTCCCCAGGGCTTTGTTGCTGTGCCGACGAAGAACCCTGACGGTACCATGAATCTTATGAACTGGGAATGTGCTATTCCAGGAAAGAAGGGGGTAAGATTGTCAGTTTAAGCTTTAATTCGATTAATCCGCTGTAGCATCATGTGAGATCTCTCTCCATCTCTCTCTAGACTCCATGGGAAGGAGGTCTGTTTAAGTTAAGGATGCTGTTTAAAGATGACTACCCCTCATCACCCCCAAAATGTGAGCTTTGCACAGACATATTCAGTCCTTGCTGTCCAAAGCACACCTCACGAATGCTTGCTTCTCTTCCGTAGGTAAATTTGAGCCTCCGCTGTTCCATCCGAATGTTTATCCGTCAGGAACGGTGTGTCTTTCCATCCTAGAGGAGGATAAAGACTGGAGACCTGCCATTACCATTAAACAGGTCCATTGAAATTATTTTTCACTCTAGTCAGTTCTATTCTAGTGCGTTGTGTTCTAAAATACTCTTATAAAAACTCATCATGCAGTTTTTTTTCCTTCAGATCCTGTTAGGGATTCAGGAGCTCCTAAATGAACCGAACATACAGGATCCGGCTCAGGCAGAGGCGTACACTATATACTGGTATGATAAACACTAGGGCTGCACGATATATCGAAATATCGCAAATGTAAATATCGCAATATGCATATCGCAAGGGCGTGCGATATCTGAATCATTTTAATAATAGGCTACTTAAATCAAAACGTTGCAAAAGGTCAAAGTTTTAGTTCGACGCACACTTGCCTTTAATCATGTTTCAACTTTGTCAGACTATAGTTTTTGCTGTGGTATATGAAGAAGTACTTAAAGTGTATGGAAAGCAAAGTTACAATGATATAAAATTGTCATAAAAATTTTTTTTTTTGTGTTCACACTGATGTTAAAATGACATTTTCTGATTTGTGACATTACTTTTTATGTAATGCTAAAACACTGCTGGTCACTTTCAGAAGTTGTAGTGATTCTTTCTTTTCCAAGAAAGAATGTGAAACAAATTGGTTATATAATTTTCATTTTTAAATATTTTAAAATATAATTGAAATTGATTTTACACACTTTAAGCAATATCGTATCGCATATCGCATTTTTTAACAAGGTATCGCATATCGCATTTTTCTTCAATATCGCACAGCCCTAATAAACACACGCTAAGAGTTAAAGCGCAATGAGTACAGTACTGCAAGTGTTGTATAGTTCCAAAATTTAGTCAGCATTTTAAAATAGAACCTCACAAGTGGTTAATTTAAAATGCTTCTCACGGGCACCAACAGAAATAGCACTCCTAATGCCAGCTGTATGAGCAACACTAAGCTAACAATATGGTAAGCACAAGGATGCACACACAAATATTGGGATTCCATATAAAAAAGAATAGAATATTAAACCCATTTCCACTACTTGAGTTAATATGAAACATATTATGTTGGTTAAATGTCATAATTATGACTTTTTTTCTCAAAATGTCTACTTTTTTGTCTACTTTTTGTCATAATTTTTATTATAATAATTTCTAATTATGTAAATTATGACATGAAAAGTAGAAATTAGGAGAAAAAAGTTATCACGAGATTAAAAAGCCTAAATTATGAGACGAAGTCGAAAAATCAAATTTGATAAAAGGTCATGAGATTTTTTCGCCCTTTTTTATAATGACCTTGTTTCATAATTATGCTATTTATCTTTATTTGGACTTTTTGTGTCTTAATTAAGACTTTGTCACTTTGGCCTTTTAATAATAATCTTTACTTTTTATATCATCATTTTGACATGTTTCCTTCAAGGAAATTTTGACATGTTCAAATGTTACATTGGACATTTTGTCTCATAATTATGGATTAGTATGTCAGCATTTTGTATTTTCATATAATTTTAGTTTATCTCAATTATGAATCTTTATCTCATAGTTATGGATTAGCATGTCATCATTTTGGCCTTTTAACTTTTTATCTCATTATTATGAATCATAATTGACTGTCAATTTTGACTTCTCATAGTTAGGACTTTCAATTATTGACGTTTGGAAATGAGATACTAAGTAATGATTATGAGATAAAAAGACAAAATTATGATATACCTGTATCTCGTAATTATGACTTTGTATCTCATAATTTCGACTTATGTCGTAATTGATATACCAAAGCATATTTTTTCATTATGTGGAGGAAATAGACTTCTATATTTTTATTTAATACAACTATTTTATATGAATACTTTATTCAGTATTAGCTCAGATACCATTGCAGTGCATTCTGGGATTGCCGTATACACAAAGGATGAGTGTAGAGCTGTTTAAGATGTGTAAGGAAGCATTATATTGCCTAGTTTTTGGAACGCCCTTTACTTTGAGAGCACACTTATAATGTTCCCTAGGTAGGCAGCTCACTAGTTTCATCACAGCGAGTGTGAGATGTCTCTTGTTTTGATCGCTCTGCGTGTTTTTGTTTGCAGTCAGAATAGAGTGGAGTACGAGAAGAGAGTTCGTGCACAGGCCAAAAAATTCTCCCCGTCGTAAGCGAGACGGAGGGATGGACGAATGGAAAGAGGGAATATGTGAATACTCATGCTATCCTCCCACCGGGACTAAAAGGACTTAAAACATGATGTCTGTGCCATCGAGCCCTTCCCCTTCCCCTCCACCACAAAACATCACACTCCTACACACTCCTCCTCTTCCCTTTTAATTTCATTTGCTCTCCGTTCCCTTTAGAACGCAGTCACCAATTCAGTATCCACAGATCTTGTTTTCTTTCAAACCGGCTCGTAAGAAATCACATTCACAGCTTCAGTCTTCGATCAAAAGTGGACTGTTGGGATTTTAGCTCTTTATTCATTTGGCGTGTTTGTCTGTGTGCGCTTACATACACTCGTCATTTTATTATGTTCGTGAAGCTCCGTTTCCCCTTGAGTGAGTGAGTGAGCGAGTGCGTGTGTCCCGCGTGGCTCTGGTTTAGGTTGGTTTATTACGTTACGTATGTGGGATAGTGCCTCATGGTGAAGTTTCCCCCAGAACGCTGATCTAGGACCAGTTTCCTCTCCATTGGACGTGTTTGTATTTGACCAGCCGCGTGGTCTTAGATCTGTCTAGGATTGTCTTAATGCTGATTCGTCGAATAAAGTCCAGAAAAATTGCTCTCCTGTGAGCAGCAGAACCAGAGTCCAATTCTCTTGAACATGCTGTACATGGTTTCTTGTTTGTTTGATGGGAACATGTGTCCTGTGTTCACACTGATTGTGTCTGTATGTTTAATAAAGCTCTTTCTATAAAATGCGTCTGCAGACTGTGTATGTGTGTCCTGATCAGACGTGTTTCTTATATATCGGATGTGTTCTTGTGTTTAAAAACAGCTCGATGGAGGGGTGTTTAAACTTTACGCAGCGACTTAATGCTCCCGACTCGCTAAAAACAGAAAAAAGAGACTTGACAGCCAAAGTAATTGTTGATGCTAAATGTTAACTGATGTACCAGAGATGTTTCATACATTTTTATTTATATAGCATTAATGATAATATAAACATTCATGATAACAAAAAGCTATTGCAATGAACTAACAGTATTGTCGAATAGCTTCAAATATAAAAATTTAACTCGAAGTACAGAATAAAAAATATGGTAAATTAAAGTCAGAATTTTTCAACTTTGCAACCAAAATTGTGCTTTTAGTTTTTACTTTTTCCACCTTTGTTTTAAACAGTCATTTTTTTTCTTTTCAAATGTCTTATATACTATACACTTTATTTCTTTTTTACATGATTTGTGGCTATTTGCATAAATTGGGGTTCAGCTATTTAGTAGGATTTGCTTATTAAAGCAATTAGCAGATAATGTATGCATGGATATATTTGTTTATATTTTTGTGCAAAGTGCAAAAGCACATGTAGTATATTAGCACATTACGTAATACGTGAAGATTAACTACATTTGTGAACTACATTCATTATTGTTCAAATTTAGCTTCGTTTTCAATCTTGTGCCACATATACACTAACATTCAAAAGGGGATCAGTAAGATTTTTAAATGTTTTTTAAACGTTTATGCTCACCAAGGCTGCATTTATGTGATGAAAAATACAATAAATAAAAAAACTGAAATATTGTGAGATATTATTACAATTTAAAATAACTGTTTTCCATTTGAATATATTGTAATGTATTCCTGTGATGCAAAACTGAATTTTCAGCCAGCTATTTAGTAGGATTTGCTTATTAAAGCAATTAGCAGATAATGTATGCATGGATATATTTGTTTATATTTTTGTGCAAAGTGCAAAAGCACATGTAGTATATTAGCACATTACGTAATACGTGAAGATTAACTACATTTGTGAACTACATTCATTATTGTTCAAATTTAGCTTCGTTTTCAATCTTGTGCCACATATACACTAACATTCAAAAGGGGATCAGTAAGATTTTTAAATGTTTTTTAAACGTTTATGCTCACCAAGGCTGCATTTATGTGATGAAAAATACAATAAATAAAAAAACTGAAATATTGTGAGATATTATTACAATTTAAAATAACTGTTTTCCATTTGAATATATTGTAATGTATTCCTGTGATGCAAAACTGAATTTTCAGCATCATTACTCCAGTCTTCAGTGTCACATGATCCTCCAGAAACCATTATAATACGCTGATCTGCTGCTCAAGAATTATCAATGTTGAAAAAAGTTGTGGTGCTTAATATTTTTTTACATTTTTTTCAGGATTCTTTAGTAAATAGGAAGTTGATTTGAAATATTTGTAACTTTTTTTTTTACATTTCTTTGAAAAAAACAAAACAATCCTATTGACCCCAAACTTTTGAACAGTAGTGTGCATGCACATGTTAGACTGCATAAATGTGTGAATTGGAGAGTGTGCAGTAGTCCTCACTGCATGTGATGCTTCCTCTCTCAGTTGTTGCAAAATCGCGAATCCAGCAGCCTGAGTCGACCTCTGAACCCACAGGAGACTGCGGCATGCTGCGAGACTCATTCACGTCGATCTCTCCCATATTCTCAAAGTCTACGGTGGAGGGTTGAGGGGGCGTGTCTGTGCGCTCTGTCAGAATGTCAATCTTGAGAGACTCCTCCCCCTGCATCACATCTCTCATCTTACCTGACAGCGTTGAACGGATCTGAAAATACACACACATACAGACCATTAACAGTCATGCATTAGAACAACCTCGACTAACCATCAAAGGTCATGCCAAACAGTGCAAGAAGATTATTATTATTATTATATATTATTAGATGGAAGCTGTTTACTTATGCCGAAATAAACAGAACACCAACAGATCACACCCAAGACTTGAATTTAGATGCCAACAAAACGGCTTTACATTTAAGAAACATAAAATTCTTGAATTGTTTTCAAAATTAATTCTGTGCTCTTCAAATTCGCAAATGGGTTTGCAAAGTCAGACCATGTTTGATATCTTATATCTGATAAGACACCACAAAACCATATTTGATATTCTTCTCATATCTGATTTGTAAGGGGTCCTATCATCATTTGACAGTGATGAAAAGATTAGTGTTATTTTAGTATTATTTACAAACTATTATAGTATTTATGAATTATCTTTTATTTGTCAGTTTTCATTTTAAATGAAAGTTTTAGTAATTTTGTTCGGTTTTAGGAATTTTAGTACTTCAACGTTTTGCATCTAATATTTATATTATATGATTCGGTGTTTTGAGTAAATTATGTAATGAGTCATTCATAAAGAGATTCAATTGTTTCATTCTTGAATGAGTCTGCATATTTAAACAAATCGGTTGAGTGAATGATTCAGTGACTCGTTCATAAACCGCATCCGCACTTTTAAGGAATTGTCAGAGTGTATGATTACATTTTTTATTTTTATTTTTTGGAATTACCTGAACATCTACATCCCAGTCTCTGAAATAAGGGGCTGGTGAAGGTATATAATCATTCTTCCTCCATCTACAAAACAAACATCCATCATTTATTTACAAGAAAACAGATAAAAGAACTCAGGTGTTTTCAGGATGCTGCAGATGATGTTTCTAACCTGGAGTATGGGATACAGAACAGAAGGACCAGCGGCAATGGCACTAACAGAAGATACCGGGCAATAGGGAAAGATCCTCTTGGAGTCTCTTCTTAAACACACAAAATGAGATGAATCTTAATCACAGTATGTAATATTTACAGTTTCTTCTTAGCAGTTGTTTGAGTGTTCTGTAAACTGACTCACTGTGAATGTCCCCCGATCTCCAGTGTAACGCAGGGGTCCACAAACTCCACACGCCTTTATAATACACTTGATCTGGCCGCGATCTCACACGCACTGTGTAATTTGTGTGAGGTTCAAATCTAGACTCGTCCACATACACCTTCTGTTCAACAGCTTCTACCTCGTACAGCTGAAACACAATCATTTGTCATATGGAACTTAAAGAACTTAAGAGCACTTTCAAAGAGCAACCTCAGAAATTAGTGACAAATTAATTCAACTGGTGCAAAACGTGTAGCTTGACCATGATACTGGGTACTACTCAAACTGCGTATTAGTACTTCTCCCATGGTGTAAAATAGACACTTGTTGTGAGAAAGGGGTGTTAATAGAAATTAATAGAAAGTTGTAAGTTGTAAGAATCAGTTTTTGACTTTGGGTCTCAACAGTTGATGGTCAATGTGTTTTTGATTTATGAAAAAAGGCAGCCTCAATTTAAAAAAAAAATATTGTTATTATTATTATATTTATGTTTTAAGACAAATTAAATAAACACTTAATTTGTCAATTAAAAAAATATTTATTTCCATGTTTCAATTGCTAAAATAATAATGTATACCTTCGTTTTATTTTAAGTGTCACTCCTTGCATGTCCTCAGAACTGGTTCGAGAAAGGGTTTGAAAATGTCATTTCAGAAAAAGAGCCAGCTATTACATTTTGATGCCTATAAAGACTATAAATGACTACAAAAAATTGTATTCTCTATTATAACATGTACTTGTGAATTATGCACAATAAAACCAGGAACGTTTGATGAAATAGTTCACCCAAAATCCGAAAAAAAAAAAAAATAAGAAAAAGAAAATTTAGAAGAATGAAAATAATATGGTGTTTTGAAGAATATCAAAACTTTTATAGCAAGCGCACACCTTGTGTTGACTGTAAATGTTGAGCTGGTACTGAAGGTCAGGTATGAAGAAACGGTCTGCGTCATATCCGCTCTGCCACTGGAAAAGAGCCCTGTCTTTCTCCCAGAGCAGTGACAGGTTAGACGGAGGGACGGGACGAACTACAACACACACACACACACACACAGGTTTGTTTTTGTGAAAAGTGGGGACATCCCATAGGCGTAATGGTTTTTATACTGTACAGACCGTATATTCTATTGCCCTACACCAACCCTACCCCTAAACCTACCTCCTTACAGGAAACTTTGTGCTATTTCAGATTTTCAATACACTCCATTCTGTGTGATTTATAAGCGTTTTGAAAAGTGGGGACATGGGGTAATGTCCTGAAAAGTCACCTTCTCCTTGTAATACCTATGTCATACCGTTGTCATTATACAAATGTATGTCCTCATTTGTCACAAAAACGCGCGCGCGCACACACACACACACACACATCAGTGAGCAGAACTGTGGTCTTGCTTGCCTCTGAAATGCATGTAGCTACTTGCTCTTACTGTGTTTACTAGGCATGAAGTCAGCATCTAGTACGACGGAGAAGTTGTTGCCATGGTAACCGGAATGGAGGGAGATCCTGTAGCTCTCTACATCGTTGAAAACCACATGCGGTGATAAATCCAACTCGCATAGTAACGACTGTTCTCCCATCTTCAGTGTGCAGTCATAGTGTTCGCTACACAAAAACAGAGTCATTTACAAGCAAGCATGCACTCGACTGTTTGGTAGTATATTATATTCGTGATTTGACTGACGTGTGATTGTGATTCAGTGCAGTATTCTCACTCATATGTGCTGAACTGCAGCCAGTAGGACGATTCATTGCCCAGAGACTCTATATATATATATATATATATATATATATGTGTGTGTATATATATTCATACCCCATACTGTATAAATGTATGTATATATGTATATATATATAGTGCATATAATATATAATGCATATTTTACATATATATAATTATATATATATATGTATAATTAAATAAAATAGTGAATAGAAATTCTTACCCCAAGTTATAAAATTCACCAAAATATCAGAAAAACAAACCAATGTGAGGATGAAAGGAGAGCAATGCATGTTCTCTTTACCCTGTAACAAAT